CACTGTCTTCTCAGCACCGCGGGAAGGTGGGCCGGAGGTGTTCTCCGATGCCCCCGGCTCCTGCCTGGCACCGTGAGCCTATGCCCGCATTGTCCCACAGCTGTGGGCTCCCGGGCTCATCATCAGCTCAGCCTGCCAGGACACGGCGCGTCCCCGTCTTCTCTCCCGCTCCTCTGCCCTCAGAGCAGCGCTGAGGCCCACACTGCAGCCCCACCGCTGCTCGGGACTGCGCCCCTCAGCGAGGACTTACGTCCCTGAGGCCGCACCCTGCCCTACTCTGCGCTGGCTGCTATGGCCTTGCACTAGTTTTTGCCTCTCTGAGTCTTGCTTCCATCATTTGTAAAGTGGGGGTGACCCCGCACACCTCACTGGGTCGTTGCTTGATGTGAAAGCCGTCATGCGTGTGCAACATGGAGCACTCAGTGGGCGTTGATCACTGTTCGATATGAAAGCCTGGACGAACACCCTCCTAACTCACAACAGCACCGCCCCATGCCTACCCTGCACGCGCACTGGCCAGCGAAGGACAGGAGGATGCAGAAAGCATGGTCGCAGCCCTCTGGGAGCCCACGGTCCAGGGACAGAACCAGAGCTCCCTTGAGGAGGGCTGGGGCAAGGATTGGAGGCTGGCGTCTCCACCAGTAAGGGTACTGAGAGGAGTAAGGGCGACACATTTTAAGCCTTTACCACATGGCAGGCACTCTGCGCTGCTATGTAGGTGCTTTTTTTCTAGATGCTTTACATACATAATCTTGGTTAGACCTCCTCAACCATGAGAGTAGATGCTATTATTATCCCCATCTCACAGATCAGAAAACTGAGGAGACACGGGGAGGATAGTTAGGCTTGCCCGGGATCACAGTAGGGAAGAGAGCTGGGACTCAACCCTAGGCTGTCTCACTCATGAGCCTCTCACTTCTGTCCCACGTGGGGAGAGGCAGTGTTTCTAATGCTCAGGGCGCTCAGGGCTGGGCCTTTGCAGGCATCTACTCATGAGCTGCTTGGGTTACAGGAGAGTGACTGGGGGAGACCTGAAGTCTAATCCCCGATCTTCCTTTGTCTCTGCAGAGGCTGCTGATGGGAGCTCCACCCTGGGAGGGGGCGCTGGCACCATGGGCTTGAGTGCCCGCTACGGGCCCCAGTTCACCCTGCAGCACGTGCCCGACTACCGCCAGAACGTCTACATTCCCGGCAGCAATGCCACACTGACCAATGCGGCTGGCAAGCGAGATGGCAAGGCCCCAGCAGGTGGCAACGGCAACAAGAAGAAGTCGGGCAAGAAGGAGAAGAAGTAACGTGGAGGCTGGGCCAGGAGCCACAGGGCAGCCTCCCTTCCCAAACCCCCTGCCTGTACCCAGGCCTCGAATTTTCAGGGCTTACCCCCAGGATACTGGTAGGGGCCCAGGCCATGCTCCCCTTGGGAAACAGAAACAAGTGCCCAGTCAACACCCCCCTCTCTGCTCCCAGGGGATTGAATATGCAAAGGGAGTTCTGCTGGGAACCCCTATCCAATCAATTGCTGTGCCCATGGGGGTGGTGGGGTTAGTGTAGACACCATTTATCACACCCACTTTAGTTACAGCTGAACTCCATCTTCCAAACTTAATCAGGCCCATCCGTTCCTGCCTCCCTCCCACCCGCCCTTCCCCACAGCATTAACAGCTCCTCTTTTTTGAGCAAGGTGTTTGGGGTGTTGAGGCACCTGGCGACCTAAGGAGTCTTCTAGTTCTGAAGAGTGGGAAGGGCATGGTGGCCCCTTGGCCTCTCCTTCCGTCCTCACACTGCCCCCCAAGCATGGGTCATGGGTTGGTGCCAGTCCCCCCACCTCCTTCCAGAGCCGGAGGCCAAGCTCCCGTTTTGGGAGGCATGGGTACTGGTGCTTGCTGGATTCAGGGAAGGCATTTGCTACCTGCCTCTTCCCAACGCCCTGGGGACCAGTGTTTTGTTTTGTTTTGTTTTGCTTTTCATTGTTTGGTGTTCCCACTGCATGCTGTGACTTCCCCCTGCCCAAACAAGAGACTCCATTGCATGTTCCAAGACAGTATGGGGTGGTAAGATAAAGAAGGGAAGGGTGTGTATGTGGATGGGGGGATGAACAAAGCTTGACATCTCACTTAACAGGGTCTTGCAAAAGGCTCTGTATCCCCCCAGGGTACTGACCAGATCCTCAAATTCCAGCCATAAGCCAAGCACCCTGCTGGACCCTCATCCACTCTCATCCACAGGGCTCAGCTTGCGGCTGAGCTACCAGTACCAGTGGGTTTACACTGGCATTACAGTCCAAGGAAGCTCTGAGCAGGCTTGGGACCAAGTGCCCTGGAGAGGTCAGAAGGGCCTCTGCGGGTGCTGGGTGCTCCAGAGGTGCCACTGAGGAAAAGAATGTGGCCCCAGAGGAAGGAGGGCAAGCTAGGCCATTCTTGGGCCCCGGGTTGGGGAGGCAAGTTGCCAGAGCGGGGACCAGGTGGACGGAGCCTCAGCACGGGGTCAGGGCTCCTCCACAGGGCTCCTGCACGCCCCGAGCCTCGGTCCTCCCCCTTGCCAGGTGCCATTTCTTTGTGGAGGGCACTGCCCCTGCCCCCAGTCTGCCCCCTAGTGTCCAGAGCCTGGTTAAAGTCCCCCAGTGCCTCCTTGTGCATAGACCTTCTGCCCCTCGGGCCCCGATTCATCCCGCGGGGCTGGCGAGAACCCCGCCCCAGTCCTCACAGTAGCGTAGAGCCCCCCCTTTCGGCTGGTGTAGAATAGCCAATAGTGTAGTGCGGTGTGCTTCTCCGTGACGGCGAGTGGGCAGCGGGCGGCGGGCTCCGAGCAGCCGCCTGTCCTTGAACCTGCCTGCGGCGGCCCGTGCTGTGTTTCGTGCTGTGTCCACGCGCTGCGGCGACCCCCCCTCCCCGGTACTGACTCCGATAAGCGCTCCTCTTCGCTTAGTCATGTAGCTCCCCACCCCACCCCCTTCCTGTGTCTCACGCAAGTTTTATACTCTAATATTTATATGGCTTTTTTCTTTGAAAAAATAATAAAAAGTTTTCTTCTGAAAGGCTGAGCGCTCCTGGCCTGTGTGGATGAAGCGAGCCGGGTGTGTCTGTGCGGGGAGAAGAGCGCGGTGGGGGGCGGTTACTGTGCTCGCCGTTCTGGTTTTGTGTCATTGCCCGAGTCTGTGCATGAACGTGGCTGGGTGTGCTTGCAGCATGTGTAATAGTGCGCGGCATGTAATGGTGGCTGTGCTCGTGGAGCTGATACCGCTGTGGGTGATGGGCTCGCGGGTCCGCGGAGGGGGAGGGGTTTCGGAGCGCGGCGCCCCGTGTGCACCCGGGCGAGCAGGCGTGTGCTCGCTGCCGTCTCCGCTACGGCGCTAGCGCCGGTCTCCGGGCGGGAGAGGACCCCGGCGCGGGGCCGGGCGCGCCTGGGCTCCCGGCGAACAGCTGGAAGGGGGGCCAGTGGACGCTTCCTTAGTTCCCGCCCGTTCCCCGCTAAAATCACCACCTCAGGGGAGGGGGACTCCCCTTGGCCGGCCCCCCTCCACTCCCGCTGCCTGTGGGGTTTGGAAACACCGCAGGAGTGGGAGGGAATGCCCGAGGCGGTTCTGCCAAGGCCGACTGCCAAGGCCGAGTCTACGGTTTGGGGTCCAGCTTTCGCATCGGGAGTCCGCCTTCCCCCTCGCCTCCCTGCCGCAGAGCCGAGGAGGTTAGGGGACTGCTCGCCTCTTGCCGGGGGCGGGAGACCGGCATCCAGGGGAACGAGAGGGCACCCAGGCAACGAGGCTGCCCGCAGACGCAGACCGCCCTCGCTCCTTCCTCTCTCCCGCTGCCGTGCTTGTCCATTCATCACTCGGCCAGCGCGTCTCCCCGCCTCCCCCACCTGCCCCTCCTCCAAGCGCAGTGGGATTCTGAGGCTGCCGCAGCCAGAGACGCTGGGGAAACACGGGATAGGTGGGTTGGCGACTGGAGGGGCGGAAGGCCAGAGACACCGACATAGCCACTGGGTTATCAGAAGGGTCAGCGAGGCTGTGCCCAACCTCAGGGAGGAAGGAGGCTGTCTCAGGGCTTCCTCCCAGAGCCGGCCACTGCGTCCTGCCAGCTCCTGGTCTGTTGTCATGGAAACCAAGCCTTCCAACTAAGCATCTGGAGGCGACTTTCTTGCGTGGGAGGGAGGGTGCGTGGTTGCTGAGATGGAAGCAGGGTTTTGTTTCTGAGAGCCAGGCTGCAGAGGGCGGGTGCTGGGCGCCTGGGTTCTATTCCAGGCAAGGCAACTAGCCTGGCAGAGCGCGTGAGCAGCTGTGGTTGGTCCCCTAATGTGTATATGCGCCTAGAAAGCTCTGAGCCAGAAGTGCGTGGCCTCTGAAGGGTGAGGAGGAGGAAGGCGACCCACCCTGGAATCCCCCGCCCTACTGGGGAAGCAGCTGCCCAGGCTCCAGGGCTGTGTATAAGCCTTTTATTCCCAGTTCCAGGGCTTGCCCGAATGGGTTTGTGGTCTTCTCTAGGCCCCTCCCTGTCTATTCTGGGCCTGCACTAGCTTGTAAGGTTTCTTTGTGCAGGTCACTACTCGCTCCAATGAGTATGGCTCCGAGCAGGAAGTCATCGGGAGTATAACCTCTGACTTCTGACCTTGCTGGAGAGACCCGGGCTCCACCCGTGTATGCTCCTCTAGTCTGGCACCCCAAGAGGGGTGGGGGGATGGGAGAACAGGAATCCAGTTTCCCTCAGCAAGGAACTGCAGGGAAACTGAGTTCAGCTGGGGTCAGGGGAGGTGGGGGTTAGAACTGAGCTCCAGGGAAGAGGCCCAAGCCAAGAGGCAGCCGTGTGGAAGGGCAGGGCTAGTTCTTTATGGGGGCAAATGTGGGGCAGAAGCCAGCACGCATTAATCATCTCTGGTCCTGCACCCAAGCAGTGCCTGGCACATGACGGTCACCTTAAACTTTTTGACAAGATTGTCAGCTCAACCAGGAATTTGAAGCAGGACAAAAGTAGAAAGAACAGAAATTCACAAAGGAGGCTGTAAGGCGGTGCTGCTGAAGTCAATGCTTTATTAACAGTTGGAAACAAATCCAATGAACCGGAGGTGATGACATCCCAGAAGCCCAAGAGGCGAGGGACATATGTTTGCATTTTGTCCCCCCTCCTTTTTTTTTTTTTTTTATTAAATGCATCTTGGCAAAAGTAGATTTAAAAAAGAAAGGGTCAAAGCCCCAGGTGTCAGCAGGGAATAGGAGGGGACCCAGAGGAGCAGCAGGCCTCTGCACCAGTCTTCCCAGGAATAGCTCAGAGGGGCTGCTGTTGGCCCTTCACACATGCATCTCTGGGACAGCCAGAACCTGCCTCCTGGCCTCAAGGCCTCCGGGCCAGGCCCGAACAGTGCCATTCTCTCCCTACCTGGGGGTGGAAGTCCGAGGGAACAACAGAGGGCAAAGTATCACCTTGAGCCAGAGAATCTGAGCTTCCTGGCGCTGGGGCCACGGAACAGTGAGGCCTGCCAACCGCTGAGATGGAAGCAGGGGTGCATGTGGGCTCAGAACTTCCAGTTAGCATCTGCACATTTGGCTTGATGAATATATTGAATTTATAAAAACTCTGTGGCCTCAGAGCTCCCACTGCTCTTGGGCTTGGTCCAGCTCACTGGGAGAAGGGCTTCTCTGCCCAAAAACTGGATGCTGGGAAAGAGAATCTGCATCGGCCACAAGGGCCCGGAAGGCTGGAGAGCTGAGGTGGAGGTCCAGGGGACTTGTTCAGGATTGAGGCCCGTGGGGAGAAAACCCAGGGACTCTCTCAAACCTGCCATCAAAGCCTCTTACCGTTACAGAGGAGGAAGGGAAAAGGAGGAGTTATTATCCTTAAAAAAAAAAAAAAAATTCATACAAAAATAGATCAATTTGCAATACAATTTCTCAGCCAGAGGCTCCACCTCCCATTTCCTTGGAGACAGAGGGTGAGGTCTGGCCGGGCTGCGCTCGGGCCTCCCCCACAGCCCATGTTCCAGATGAGATGCACCAAAGCTCCGGGGAGGCTGGGGCTGGTGCAGAGGGTCCAGAAAGGCGAGGGCACAAAGCATGGCAGCAGGCTGCAGTGGGCCCCACCATGTCTCTGCCCTGCCTGCCTGCCCACAGGCTCAGGCCCAGGCCACTGTAGAGCAGATTAAGTGGTCCAGGTCTTTTTGTTTTGGGAAGCCTTCCCCAGGAAGGTGGGGTACGGATGAGGTTTGCTCCCCGCCTCCTTAGAAGTAGCTCCCAATGCCACATCACTAGTAATAAATAACAACGGCCAGGAGAGGGGAGAGGGGAGTGGGGGTGACAGCAGTGGGAGGAGAAATATAGCCCCAAGGTCCACAAACCCCATGCCGTTCTCAGGGCCAGAGGAACCATGAAAGAAAAGCACAAACCCAGCAAGGCCGACGAGGTGACAGTGAAAGCCCCCCGGAAAGGCGGGGGTGAGGAAGCAGGCAGGGCCTTGTCGGGGACGAGGCCTCAGGGTGACAGCGAGGAGACACTGAGGGTTAAGGCAGCAGGCATGGAGCCTGCTTTAGTAAATACAGCAGCGGGCTGGCCGGGTTGGGCCCAGGCCGCCCCCACACTGCCCTTTCCTTCTGTCCTCCAGGCGGCCGAAGCTGTGTGTGATGTACAGACAGCAGCAGGCCGGTTCCCCCGAGGAGCTGCTGCGGCCACAGGCTCCAGCTTAGCTCGCACGGCCAATCAACTCCTTGGTTTCCTCAAGGACTGTGGGGACTCCCTCTCTGTTCTTGGCCACCTTGGCAGGAACTGCAGTCATGGCATCATCCTTGGTCAGCTCGGAGGCTAGGACCGATGTGACCGCACACCCAACCTTCCTGTTTGCTGCAAGAGAAAACATGAGAGATGTCAACCGCGGAAGGCCCAGTTTCTGATTCCTCTGGACCCATGGCAGCCAGAATCCATGCAGATGCGGCTGTCCTGTCTGGTTCACAGAGGCCCTTCTTTAGAAGAGGGGGCAGAGGTCCAAGAACATGTGGAGTGCAGCTTTGGGAGGCAGACTCCCTCCCTCTCCCCAGGCCCACACGCGGAGCCTACCAGGTGTGTTGGGGTGGGTAGTGAAGTGTATGTCGGGGGAGGCAGAGCTGGGGGGAAGGATGGCCAGTAGGGGCTCCTACAGAGAGAGAGAGAAATCTCAGCCTCATGGGCTAAGGGATTGTGAAACTCCAGCTGTCATCTTAAAGGGGAAGAGAAGAACCAGCCAGCCCATGGGTTTCTGTTCTAACTGCTGGGAGCCATCCCCAGGACTCTGGTGTTCATTGACCGAATCCAGATGTATGGCCTCTGTATCCTCAACAAGAAGGCAATCCGTCCCTTGGGCCCATGCCCACCTCACGCCGCCTGCCTCCTCCCGTGCCTTGGAGGCAGCACAGGGACCCGGCTCGAACACAGAGAGCTGCCTGCCTGAGGTGGAAGGGGCCAGACACAAGGCCAGGCGTGCTGTGATTCCATTGCTAAAAATGCCTAGAACACACACATCCATAGAGACAGAAAACACACTCGTGGTCGCCAGGCACCGGGGGAGGGAGGACGCGAGTGACCGCGCACGGCATAGGCTTTCTTTCTGAGGCGATGAAACTTGTGGAATCAGACAGGGACGGATGCAACCTTATGGATACATGAAAACACTGAATTGCCTACTTTAAAAAGGTGAATTTTAGGCATGTGATGTATGTTTAGTTTAAAAGCAGCAGCAGCAGCAGCTTGCTGGGTCTGGGAAGCTGAGCCCCCAGGCAGCAGGAGGATGGAGGCCAGAGGCGCCCGTCGCCGCCTTCCGTGGGCGGGCAGACGCCACACAGGGCAGGGGGCCCAGCTCTGCGCCAGGGCTTCGGTCTCTCTACAGGCATGCAGCCCAGGGCCCCTGTGTTCACACACCAGGCCAGCAGGGAGCCCTCAGCAGGCCCAGAGGTCACCGATGTACAGGTCACCTCCTCCTCCTCCCAGGGGCACAAGCGGTTGTCTAACAAGAGGAAAAAGAACAGTGAACATCCTGACTGACAGGCCCAAGGGCTCACCTGCCTACAGGTGGTGCGTGTGCGGTGCAGACGCCAGGGGGTCCTACCCAAACTGCACCCTGGCTTATGAACATGTAATACTGCCGCGGCGACTGACGGGAGGAAAAGGAGCCCTCTGGGGTGTGACGAGGACGGCCCACATGTGCACACCGCTCCTACCTTCCTAGTCTCTCCAGCAATACCTCCCTCAGACCAACTTAGCTTCCACTCTTTTCTGAAACACGCCATCCTGTGGGCCCCTCCTCTCGGGTCTGGGAAGGCAGTGGCTGGGCACCACTTCAGTGTTCCTCTGAATTCAGTCTCCAGCAGTGAGAAAATACTGCACCCGCGCGCGCGCGCGTGTGTGTGTGTGTGTGTGTGTGTGTGTGTGAGAGAGAGAGAGAGAGAGAGAGAGAGAGAGAGAGAGAGAGAGAGAGAGAGAGACTCTGGGGTGTGTAGGTGTTGAAATGATTCCTCACCCCAGACCCTAAGAACACTGGGTCTTCAGGGAAACCTGCCCTGGGCAACACGGGGAAAGCCAGAGTTCAAGGGCGGTATGTCCTGCGCTGCTTTGCTCTGTACTTTCTTCTAAACTGAGAAGATACCAGTGGTACTTCACCAAACAGTGCTTCTAGATTCAAAAAGCTTCTGATGCGTTACAGACTTCATAAAAATGAAGAGAGGATGGTAGGTGGGGAGGAGACCAAAAGTTCCCTTTTAAGCCTAGAAAGCAGGTACATTTGGGGTGGACATGATGTGAGAATCCGAAATGAGAAAGCTCTTGCTGGAACGGGAACAGAATCAACAGGAGAGAGGAGTCCCAGTTTCCCGTCCTCAGGACCACAGTTTATACTGAACAGTCTGAACAATCCAGAAAAAGTGGCCCCTCCCCTCCTTTCCCTAACTTGGGTACTTGTTAGGACTGCTGAAAGCAGCCCGTGGGCAGTCAGAGCTTTTGGCGATACAGGGTCAGGGAGGATTACTAACTCCTCAGAGAACAGCCCCCCACTGCGAGGAAAGGGGCAATCCTAGGACGCTGGTCCAAGTGTGCTGAGGCCAATTTGGGGTGGACTAGAATAAAAACGAAATCAATGATAGAATAGCAATACAGATGAATCAGCAAAAGGTTAATGATTTGGGAAAAGGCACTCATAGCACAGGCTAGAATTGCTACTAAAGAGGAAGTGCTCTTGTTAATAAGCTTCCTCAGGGAAGAGGAAACTAGGACAGATGGGGTGATCGCTACCATCCTGGGGAACTCATTTCTGTCTGGAGCTCTCTTAATTATAATTCCTGTCCTATTTTTACAGAAGTCGAGGGAGAGTAAGTGGTGGTGTAGGCTCAGTGGAAATGGCCTGGACTTGGGTTCACAAAAATGGGCTACATTTTGCCTCTATCACTAGCCAGCTCTGCAGGCCTGGACAAGAGCTCTCCGACCTGGGCGGAGGTGAGGCGCCGATGGCCAGAGGCCTTCAGTCCTTCCCACTCGGAAGGGCCGTTAGTGCGGCGGTGCGGGTGGCAGGAGGAAGGAAAGGGACAGAGGAATTCCTCCCTCCCTTGACTTTCACCCCAGGGAGCAGATGGCCTGTATGTAAGAGGCCACAGTTCAGACGTGGAGATAGAGCTGAGTCACTGAAACCACGAGCTGACTCCATCACCAGCCTGACATCGTGGCTGTAACACAGTCACGGGGATTCTTCCCCCGACACTCGCACCACTGCTCCCCCACCCTGCAGTTCACAGCGGCCTACACGTCACTTTCAATGAACCGGCCGGACAGTAACCCTCCTCTCCCACCTCCTCAATGGGCCTTTGTGTGCTGGTCACTCCCTCAGGTCTCCAGAGACCGGAAGATTTTTTTTTTTCCATTTTTTTCTAACATTCCTTTGAATCCTAGGGAAAAGGCTAGTGTCTCTGAATAGGGACAGCTGCCTCTCTGGAACTGAGGAGAGGGCTGTGGGGCAGACTGGCTGGACGGCGCTTCGGTTCTTTGGCTCAAAGCAATCGGCCTGGAGGAACACTCGGAGGCAGCCGAGCAAGACGCAGGGGACCAGCCAAGTCCGGCGGCCACTGAGGGGCCCACAGACGCAGCCTTTCTGGCTTGAGATCGGGGCCTTGTGGCCCGGCCTCCTTCTTTTTTTCTCCTCTCAGTCCAACTGTCACTGGACAGAAAGGACCCAGGAGACCATTCTATTCCAACTCACTTTTTACATGAAGAAACTGAGTCCCAAAAACTTGTCTAAGGTAACCTAGACAGCACTAGAGTTAGACTTGACTTCGGGTCTTTCCATCTCATCCTAGGTCTCTGTGCTCTACTCTGATGCCTACCCTTCGGTTTACATTTAAGATGAGGCCACGTCCCTGTCTAGGATGCGGATGCACTAGGCACACGCCAGAGTAACTAGTTACTTGACAGATTCTCCCAGAAATGCTCAGCTGTGTTTAGTGGACCTGGAGCCCAGAAAGGTAGGGTTGCAGGACGGAGCCAAGAATGTACTTCTCGTTTTCACCTTCTTTTTGCTTCAATACCTCCTAGTGTAAGTCTCCTATTCCTTCCCGCACTGGGAAATGCACTCTGACTAATCCAGTCGGCCTCTGCGGAAAGGTCACGTTCCAACACACTCCCCAGCTTCCTCTGCCTGTGAGTCCTGGTTTCCCACTGGGAAGGAGTGGAGCACGGGGCCTCCGCTGCAGAGGAAAGCCGCTAACGTCGGCGGCCTGTGTACAGGAAGCACCTGGGGTTCTAGGAGGAAGATGCTTAAAGGAATTCCCCTCCAAAAGTCTGATGCGGGCCAGCACTTAGCTGAGAGAGGAAGACAGTGAGATGCAATGTACTTTCATTGGCTAGAAATACTTGATGTAAGGCCACATGACCTTATATGGTGGTAAGGAGACAATGTTGCAAGAACTTAACAACTAAACACAAATATACTACTAGTGGCACTATCCAAACCCCAATCCATAAGGCTCAAGGCTGTATTCCAGGAAGTCCTAAGACCACCATTACTGCCTCTTCTCCCCTCTGGAGAGCCTGTACTTAGAATATGGGTAAGACCTGAAACTAGGGATTCTCCTGTTCAGGGAAGGTTCTAAAGTCACACAGAGTCCTCAGGAGGCAGCCTTCCCTCAGAGCATGGATAGAAATGGGCAGCAGAATCTGGGCCAGGACCGATGGAGTGCAGGCTAGCTTGCTCCATACCCTTGATCTGAAGTTCTCCTTTCCCGGCTGTGAGGAAGTCTGTAAGCCCCAGAGATACCATGACACTCTGTTAATAGCTAAGCATGGGCCACAGCAAGCCACACTACTCCCCCTTTTTATAATGACCTTAACGTAAAGCTCCTGTCAAACAGGCCGACAGAGTATACCAGTCGGGGATAGAGAACATAGCTCTGACTCCCCCAGAAGCAGAAACCCTTAATGATCCCTTTTCTGTAGTTCCCACCCTTCAGCCTAGGAAAGAAGCCATCACCCCCAGCCCCAAAGGGCCCTCACCAGACACCATGACACAGGTGAACCCCTCACGAGGGCAGCCTGGGCTCTGCCTTGCTCTGGGCTAGTCTCTTGGCCACTGTACACTTTCCTCAAAGGTACATTACACACTGAGCCATCCCCATGCTAATGGCTGGATCATTTGTCCTCCTATCCCCATAATTCTTAGAGGCTCCAGCTCAGTGTGATCCACTTGTATCTTCTGAAGGCTGGGAGAGGAGGTGGCGGGGAGTAAGTGGGGAAGGCAAGGCAGTGGAGGCGGAGGTGCACCCAAGGAGAAGGTGTCCTCAGACAGCACAGTTCTCCCACTGAGATGGTCCTCTCTATTCTTACATCTGGCATAATGATGCCTAACCTTTTCTCTACAGGATTTTATACTTTGTTATTCTCTCTCTTCTCCTTGTGAAGTTGAGAGTAAGAACTCTTGGCTTATTTTTTTCTTTGTATTTCCTACATCTAACACACAGTTTTGTATCAATTTTTGTTCACACATTCAAACACCCATCCAAATGTCTACGTCCTGCGCCATGGTTCACTCATTCCGGATTTCCGCTTTATCAGTCGGGAGAGATGCAGGAACTTATTTCCTACATCTAACACACAGTTTTGTATCAATTTTTGTTCACACATTCAAACACCCATCCAAATGTCTACGTCCTGCGCCATGGTTCACTCATTCCGGATTTCCGCTTTATCAGTCGGGAGAGATGCAGGAACGATCAAATTTAACTCATCTGTTGTCAGGCCCTCAAGACCTAGATCCAGAGTCAGTACTTTCTAACACAGGAGGAAGAGGGCCAGACAATCTACTCAAGATGAAGAGGCCACTGCAGGGAGGTTTCTAAACCCTCAGAATATAGTTACTTGCTCTTCAGCTCAAGAGAAGCAGGACAGGAGCACAGAGGCGTCACCTGCTCCAACGCCCAGGCTGGGCTCCATTTGCTTGCTTACCCTGACGGGGTCCTCTCTTCCGTCGGAATGCGGCGCCTGACTGCAGTGCTTCTAGAAGGCTGTCCATCACACCTGTCTCATCGCCCTCTGTCATGAACAAAGATGGAGATGTAAGCTCTTCAGTGTGACCAGCACGCATGTGATGAGTCCCACACGAAATGCACGGTTACGGACTGGCTTCCCCTTTCCCACAGTGGCTGGGGGTTCAGAGCAGAGGGCTCAGCCTTAAGCCTTGTAGCCCATTTTACTTGTGTCTGTTTAAAAACGGTTAGAACAAAAGGTTTCATTGTCATTAACCATTACACACCTTGGGATACTTTCCTGTAGGGCCCTCCTTTCTACCCTGATCAGGACTAGCACAGAGAACTGCAGAATTACCCAACTCTAAGAACAGAATAAATATGGAGAATGGGTTTATGAAATTAATAAGGAACTATACCAGTCCCTCTTTATCCTAAAGGGCTTCCCTTCAGTTTACATAAACCTCTCAAGGGGAGCCCAGTTCCAGTTTCAGAGCAAGACTGAGAAAGATGAGTCCACTGATCAAAACTGCATTTTGCTTAAGTACTGCCCCCAGTGGCTGCATTTCCCTGAAACCAGCCTGTCATCTAAGAGGAGCATCCTGGCTGGAATACAAAGAGTTAACGTAGAATCCTGGTTCCAGCCAGGCTCTGTTTCCATGGCAACAGCTCAAGGTGGTGAAATCTGAAACTGAATTCCCAAGGAGCCCTGGGGCTGCCAGCTAGGAGGCCAGGCTCACTGCTCCCAGCGCCACCTGCTGGCTGAAAGTCACCAGCGCTGCTGACCCACATTCTGACCTCATTTGCTTGCTCTGGGGACCCAGCCAGGGCAAGGTGGGCTGTACCACCTGATGACTGGATGCAGCCCTCATCCCCCATGTCCACTGGACTCCACCTTTGCTCACTGTGTCCTAGATGGTTCCCGGAGACAAGCCCTAGAGGCTTGGAAGAAGGGGGGAAGGGGGCAGATAGCTGATTGTATTACATATAGCAGGGGTAAGGGTAGGGGAATTGCTTCCCGGAAAAGTATGAAGATAGAAATGCAGGCCCTTCTGCTACTTCAGATCTCTGCTCTCACCACAACAGAAGCTGCTGAGGAAAAGTCCCTGGGAGCAGAAGGTGTTCGCCCTGCCACTGGTGCTCAGCAAGTTGCCCTCATTCACGCCAGGCTCGGCAGCCCTGAGAACCCCTTCACTTGGATGGCTCATAGCCAGCCCTTCAGGTTCAAGGGTAGCCGGTGGCAGCACAGTGTATGCTCTATTTCCGCAGCCCACTGAAGGAGCAGCCTGAGGGGGGCAGGGGCATTGGCAGCAGGAAAGAAGCCGAGACAGGAAATAGGGCCAGTAATTGAGGCCATATGTTTCCACAAAGACATGCTTCTCATAGTGAAATAGAGATTCTCCTGAAGGAAGAGGGTGGCCAGCTCGCCTGCCCCCTTTCCAGAAGTTCAATTCCTCTACAATCTGATAGGTGTGTGCAACTGCCAAGGGCAATAAGCTGAAAGAAAGAGCAAGCCACCATTAAAACCTGGGGGCAGGGCCAGGAAAACATCTTGGGGAAAAGGACAAAAATTTCACAGAGGGTAGGAAAACAGGCCAGAGGAACTTTTGGACAGGCAGAAGAAAAGAGTACGTGTTACAGCAATACTGAAATCACTGGGGAGATGAGACATAAGCAGGAAGCAGCAGAGGAGAGAAACAGACTTGAGCCTGGAGAACGGGAATGCACAGTGACTGAGCTGGGGTTAAAGCCCAGCATCGTGCTCTTGGAGGCAGAAGGCTGTCAACCCAACAACCGTTTGCCAGATGAGCTCAGACATGAGCTGTTCTCTCTGGCCTCGAGGTTCCTGATGAGATGCCTTCCAAAGATGCTCCTGACACAGCCCATCAGCCCTTCTCCTTCGCTTCTCACCTGCATTCATGTCTATGAGCTGCTCTCTCTTCCGCTGTTTCTCCAGCCGCTCCTTCTCGGCCTTCTCCTTGGCTAGTTTTGCTCGTCGCATTTTTTCCTCTATCTCCCGCCGCTTCTGGTTCTCCTTGACTGCTTGCTGTGGAGAGAAAAAAAAGAACACGTGGGCACGTATGCACTCACACATGTGCACGTCCACCACCATCATGGACCCAGTACAAAGTGAGAAAGGTCCGCAGAAGGTCCAGCCAGCAGGTGTCCCTTGCTCACCACAAACATATTCCTGAAGTTGTGCAGATCCATGAAGAATTCCTCCACAGACACCTTCTTAGGGTCGAAGAGGAAATACTGGCCCAGCTCCTTATAGAGGGTCTCCATGTGAGAGTGCATCATCCGCAGCTTGTCATACTGCTCCCGGGCATCCTTCACAAAGCTGTGCAGCTGACGAGTGAAGGACCAAGACTGAGGAGCAGGCCCGCTTCTCCAGGCCAGTGCAATACTCAGAAGATGCGCACCGGTGTGCACAGGGGGCTCCACGCGGCACTCTTTGTGACAGTGAGCGCCAGGGACAATCCGAATATCCCAAACGGGGGAATGGTAAACCATAAACTCTGGTACAGCCGTAGAATAGGAGGTGGCAACCAAAAAGGAGGCTGTTGTGCACACAGCACCATGGAAAGAGGGCTAAGACCTATGTACACAATGCCATATGGTGCGATTTTTGCTTAAAATAAATTCGCAAGGAAGTGGCTACCTACAGGATGAGGAGAGAGGGGAATACGGTGTGTGTGTGTGTGTGTGTGTGTGTGTGTGTGTGTGTGTGTGTGTGTGTGTGTGGTCTGGTTACATTTACCTGTTTGAGCATTTAATGAAGAAAAATGTTTTACAGGGGGAAAAATTGTGTATGGAAGTTTACTTTCCCTTCCTAAGCAGCAATCCCCTCCTTTTAAGAAAGGATATAGTCATTTTTTCAACAAACTTGTCTTTCTCATCTACGGCAGCTGGGAAATTCTGAACATCACGTTCCACATCGGAAATTTGTTTTTTCATCTGATCTAGGTTCTTTTGCAAGTTTTCAGCAGAAACTAAAGGAAACATAAAAACAGACAGCACGAGCTTACTAAACCCAGTCTCAGGACCCCTAGGTTCCACCCTTCAGGGCACAGCTTTAGTCCACTCACACAGCGGGTACTTAATCACTGTTGTTCTCTGAGGCACTCTCCTCCATGTGTTTCACACATTGACATTTTCATCTTCCCAGGGCAACTATAAATCACTGGATGACTGACCGTCCAGCCTCCACAAGCTGTACAGTACTAGAGAGGCTTCATTTAAGTTAACAGGAATCTATGAAATCCCCTGGGGTCCTGGTCTCATATATTTTAGAGAACAAAGTTTGGGAGGAATGGGACATACACAGAAACACAGAGGCTGGGCAAAAACCTGTTCCTGCCTCTCTGGAGGGCTGCTCTGACTGCCTGGTTCCAGGACAGAGAGGCCTGATTTTTGCTCATTCTGTCTATGCTTTCTGAATGAGAAAAACCGTTGGCCCACACTACAAACACCTGCCTCCCTTCTAGCTGTGTTTTGCTATTTGGCATTTCCCTGGGAAGGGAAGGGTGCTTCCACTGTGCGGAGGCCTCTCTTCCGCCTGATACTCCTCCCTCTGGCTCAGACCCTCTCCCACTCTCACCTAAAATAGTCTGAACTGGAAATGATCTAAAATCTAGACTGTGTCACATTTCCCTCCGCAAGCAGAGATTTCTGGGGCTCGGAACAACCTTCTAGCCTCACCCCAACCTGCCTCACCTCGGCTGGCTTTCTCCACGTGGGCGAGCTCATCTGGAAACTTGAGGACATCAGGGTAGTCATTCTCACACAACTCAGCCAGGAAGTGCAACAGTGTCATCTTCTGATCTGTGGACTTGGTGTCTCGAAGCTTGGGGAGGAAGAGGACTTGTTGGTCCTGACGTGCACAGGATCACTCAGGCTAACTGGTTTGCCACGTTGGACTGGCAGAGGCCAGAGCTTTCCCTGTGGTCCTCCCGCGCTAGGCCCCAGCTCACCTTACTGAGGAAGCTAATATTGAAGCCAAAAGCACCCGCATTCCTGGAGCCAGCGTTCATGTAATTCCCCACGAGCAGGGTCAGCTCCAGGAGGCTGGAGAAGTTCTCACTCTTTCTCAGCTCCTCACATGCAGCCGTCACAGAAACAATCTCCGGCTTGATGTTCTCCACCTGCTCACTGAACTGCAGCTTGAAGAGGACGGCGTTGAGGCGAGGCCGCAGGCAGGGCACCGTGCCCATCTGGTGGGGGAGACAAGGAGTTCCACCACAGCCAACAGAGAGAGAGAAGTACGAAAAAGACAGGCCGGGGCCTCCTCTGGGAGGACCTGAGCTCCAGAGGAGGGAGGAGAGAGAGGAAGATAGGTTCAAAGCGGAGCAAGCGCCCTGGCCGCCATCAGGGAGGAGGGAAGCCGGGGAGTCGGGGAAGAGCTCACCGCCCCGGCCTCACTCACCACCACCCCGAACTGCTCTGCCTCGGCCAGGCCGTCGTACTCGTCTCTCAGTTCAGAAAGCATTTTCAGCTGCTCTGGCTCCGGCATCTGCTTAATGAGGTTCTGAAAGCAAGAGGGGCTGTCTCAGTTTGAGGGCGATGAGCTGACAACTTGGGCCTCCTGTCAGGCCCTCCCTCTGCCCAAGGACCACTTAGAAGGAGACATGGGCTAGCGGTGGGGGTGCGGGGAGAGGCAGCTCGTGATGGCGGGACTTTTGAAAATGTACCAGAAATAACATGACCACCAGAGAGAAGGAAGCTTATCCCAAGGTAGCATTCGTTAGGTCGGCAGTGCCAGATCCTCCACCTCTGAGCAGAGGCACTGAGGCCCAGCATTTAGTGGTGGAAAGCCAGTCCCAGCGCCATGACCTGGCTGCTTACCTGGACCATAGACTCAGTCAGAACAGCCTCATTCACCTCCAGGATGACATTCTTAATCTCTTCGTAGGGCATGCGAAAGGAACCCAGAAAGATCGCTGCCAGAAAACGAGACATAAAGGCATGTTCTTCCCAGTCTCTTCCCCCTTCCAGCCCATCATACAAACCTGTTTTGACAATTTTCCTGCAAATGTTCTTTTAACGTCAGTATCAGAAACCTCCACCAGCTTCTCACTGCCCCCATAGTTAAATCCAAGTTCTCGCGTCCATTTTTCAGGCTCCCACCTCTCAGCTTTCTTTCACTGAGCCCCAGGACTGTGTCACACACCAGCTACACTGTTCCAAGCACCACGTTCTACAGACACCACTCCTTGCCTTTGCTCACACAGGAAGCCTTTCATCATCTCTATCAATACACATCAAAGACACTCGCCCGGCTCTGTTTTAGTTCTTCACTCCCATGACCCCATCCTCAGAAATGTCACTGCCTTAAAATGCTCTGATTCTTAAACTCACTCACTAATCTCTACAGTGCCTCCTGAACCTCAGCAGAACGTGCTCTCTGGCAAGACTGCTGATCATTCCACTTTCTCTGAACGTCTCGGTTTCCCTCTGCCTTCTCTGTCTAACCTCACCCCAAGAGCCCGTCACATTGGTCCCTCTATCACTACTCTGTTTCTAGTGATACTGTTCCCATGCTTGTTTCCTTCTCCTCCTAGTCCCGGGTTAATCTAGCCATCTCAGTCCTCTACTTGTCCACCTGGGCTGATGAACACAGCTGGTCCAAACTCCGCAGCTCAGGATCCGTGGATCTGTCCTGGCACCACTGACAGCTGGGGCTTGGCGCTCCAAGCAGTCCTTGTCTGTGTCCCTAGTCCACGCTCTTCTGGCCCTCTTGGAAGCTCCTCCAACTACCCCATTCTGTCAACTGTCCCACCACTTCTCCATTTGTTGTAAAATCTTGCTCCTCTTTGCTGAGAAAAACTGAAGGCATTATCCAATTACTTGCTAAGCTTTCTCTTATGCCACTTACAAACTGACCATTAGGGGCCAGACTAGAAATGACTTGGGTAAGGACTATTTTGGAATCATGTAGAAGCAAACTTGTGCCAAAACCTCTATAATCTTATCAGCAACTATCCCCACGCCCTCCTCCTTTCCTCACGTTCCAGTGGAACAGGGAGCCCTAAGAACCTTCTTCTTCAGCATATGTACACCATCAAGTTTCTCCTATCTTAAAAAAAAAAAACCATGACTCAGTATTCCTCAATTACCAACTTCCTTCCTTCTTTCACTTTATAATGTACTAAAAATACAACAGCCCATTCTCTCCCACTGCCACAGCTCCCTGTCCCCACAGTCAATGAAAAGATAGCAAGTCCTTGCTGAGTGTGCACTTTGTGTGCGACGCGGCACCTTGAACACAATCTAAGGCATGACCTGATTTCACTCTATTCACAGTATCCCTGTGAGTTTGTATTATTAGCCCCATGTGTCAGAAAAGGAAACTAATACTTAAGGAAGGTAAGCTACCCATCCAAGGTCACGGTGCTAGTTAAGAGTTAGAAGCAGGATTTAAATAAAAATGGATTCCAGAGCTTCTGTTCTTAACTTCTATGCTCAACTGAAATCATCCTCGCTTAGGCGATGGGTTTTCCTAACGCCAGAGCCAAAGGACGCCTGTCCTGGTTTTACCGGGCTCCTGTCTGCGCTGGACACTGCTGCCTCCTCCCACTTCCAGGGACTACGTCACGCTATTTTTCCTGCTGCTCCTTTCTAACCTCCTTTGACGTCTCCCCCGAGCCGCCACCACCTTTTTTTCTTGCCTCTTAAATATTATTCGACTTGCAAGGGAACTTACAGCTTCATCTATGACTCATATGCTATCTCCTAAATTCCTATCTGCAGCCAGACCTTTTTCCTGATTTCTACACCCAAATGTCTAATATACCCGATCTTTTGGAGGAGTCCCACAGGTATCCTAAATTCTATCCTAAAATCAGTCATTTCTACCCATCATCCGACCACTTCTCAATCTGCTCCTGCTGAATTTTCCTATTTCAGTAAACGGTACCACTCTACAGTGATCTAAACCCAAGAAAACACCTCCTTTATTTCCTCAACCTATCACTGAGCTTCCTTAATTCTATCTTCTTTATGCCTTCTGCCCTCCTATTCATTCTCACTACTTCAGGGTCAGGCCCTGACCGCCTCCCTCCCACCTCATGTAAGCAGTAACACACTCATCTCTCTGCCTACAGTCTTCCACTGCCCTAGCGACCAGCCTCACAATCACTGCTGAAGCAGCCTTCCAAAAAATTACATAGGGCCGTATCACTCTTTCCTGATGAAAATTCCCTCAGTAACTCTGATAGATTTCAGGATAAAACATGTACCTCTTAGCCTAAGCCTACCAGAATTATGATTGGGCCTCCATCTGTGTCTTGGAAGCTTCTCCTTCACCACTACCCTGCATGAGGCTGTTACTCAGCTGGACTCAGCTACTGGTTGTTCTCAGCCTGCACAGTGTTGTCTCATGCCTCTGCACCTTCACATATGCTGATCCTCTGCCTGAGCCATCCCCC